TGCAATCAAATACCAAAAAAACACGAACCAAACCACGAGAACCCGTCCAAACACAAAAAAACACAAAGCAAGCCACGAGAACCCCCAAAAACATGTAAAAAAACACAATAATATACAAGACGTGTGCTGGTCTGGGAGGCAGGCCGCAACCGCCGCCCCGCCCCGCCAGCAGGCTCGTGTCCACGCGCAGGCCCACCACCGGCGCCGCCGCCCGACCGCGCAGGCGGAGGTCGCTGACGACGCCCCCGAGGAAGCTGCCGAAGAGCCCGCCGACCTGCGGGCAGGGAGGAGGGGGAGGAGGAGGAGGAGGAGGAGGAGGAGGAGGAGGAGGAGGAGGAGGAGGAGAGGAGGAGGAAGAGGAGGAGGAGGAAGAGGAGGAGGAGGAGGAAGAAAAAAAAAAAAGGAGAGAGGGAGCGAGGGGGCGAGGCCCCCATCGCGTCGCCTCGAACTCCGAGCTTCGAGCTTCGAGGGCCGAGGCCTGCTGGGGCCCTGGGGGGGCCTCTGACGCCGCCTCCGGGGAGGCTGCCGAGGAGCCCGCCGACCTGCGGGCAGGGAGGGGGGGGGCCCGCCGACCTGCGGGCAGGGGGGGGGGGCGAGGTTGGGGTACAGTCGGGATGGATTGGAGAGGACACGCGAGGAGACACAAGACACTTCCGATGACCACAGTGCCAATGGAACGTAGAGGGCACGATGCCGTGAACGGATCTGCCCTGTCTCCGACCTGGCACCGCGCCGAACGCAGCGGCCACGCCCTGCATGGGCGCATCCACCCCGAGAGTGCCCACGGACGTCACGGCACCCCATGTGTCCATAGACGCTTTTGGCTAGGACGTGAGAACGGTATTAGGCCTCATGCTCCTCTTCCTCCTCCTCCTCCTCCTCCTCCTCCTCCTCCTCCTCCTCCTCCTCCTCCTCCTCCTCCTCCTCCTCCTCCTCCTCCTCCTCCTCCTCCTCCTCCTCCTCCTCCTCCTCCTCCTCCTCCTCCTCCTCCTCCTCTCCTCCTCTCCTCCTCCTCCTCCTCCTCCTCCTCCTCCTCCTCCGCCTCCTCCTCCTCCTCCTCCTCCTCCTCCTCCTCCTCCTCCTCCTCCTCCTCCTCCTCCTCCTCCTCCTCCTCCTCCTCCTCCTCCTCCTCCTCCTCCCCACGCGGGCGAGGGCGCATGAGAAAAAAAAACAAGACCAGACATCCCGTCAGATCCGACGTCGCGAGGAAAAATCGCGACGTCTGCTCATTTCGGCGGCGAGCGAGGGGGAAGGGGGGGAAGTGAGAAGGAGAAGGCCTTCTCAGAAGGCGGCGGGACTTCTCAGAAGTCCACGCGCCTTCTGAGAGGTGGTTTATATACTCGGGGAAGGCTTACAACATTTTCCAGGAGGCCAGGGGACCTCCGAGCCTTCTCAGAGGGCCCGCCCCTTTGCCCTTCCCCCCTGGGCGCGCCGCCGATTCTGTTACATGTTGGGCCTCCAGGGGCCGCTTCCCACCCCTGGGACCGGCAAAGACTGCGCAGGATGCAGTGGACGCCCGTAGAGTCGGGATTGATTGGAGAGGACACGCGAGAGGAGACAAGACCCTTCCGAGGGCCACATTGCCACAGGAATGTAAGAATACGTGGGTCGCGAAGCTCAGGACACAAGGGTACCCTTGATTTGGCAGGGTCGACCTACTAATCCAGGCCGCCTGCAATGCATCTGCGGGAAAATACAATGCCCGACAGCAAATGTTGTCCAATACCAGCAGCGGCCGCTGCTGAACAAGCGACCTTCTGCCTCAGATGGGCACCGCTGGCGGCCACGCCGACAGCGATCCCTGGTCAGAATGGGCGGTCGGTCTTTGTCACCACTCTTTCCCTACAGTAGGCCCGTATCAGAAGGATGCGAGATAAGGATGCAAGGGCCTTGGACGCCCATGTCGGAGCTTCTCGAGCGGGACGCGGCCGACGAGAGAGGCCAAGGATGGACCGAGGAGGCAAGGATACAAGGGTAACTTGGGAAGGTTGCCCATCTTTACTATGCGGGTTGACTGTACCCACTTCGGTCCTCCAGGATGATAAACCAGGTCCCTGGGAGGTCGAAGCCCCCTGACGATTTTTGACAGTCAAACATATTCCAAAAATCGTCCCCTGACTACTTTTGGACTATTCTTGAATATTCCTCCTGTAGAACGACAGGCCCGACTTAGCTCCAGGATGACAAGCCCGGTCCCTGGGAGGAGATCGGAGCCCCCGAGGGGGGGCAGCCCGGGCCCGGCAGGCGCCTCGAAGGTGCTCAGCAGGGCCGCCGCCGACGCCAGGCCCCGGCCCGTGTGCAGCATGAAGAAGGCGAGCCACGACACCACGGCGCCTCGGATGCCTGGCGGCGGCAGCGGCTCCCTCACAGCACAGCGGGTCGTCGTCGGTGTCGTCGTCGGCGTCGGCGTCGTCGTCGTCGTCGTTGGCTCTCCCTCGCGGGGCAGCGCAGCTTGCCTGGAGCCTGCGACCCTGCAGCCCTGTGCCGCACGGGCCTGCCGCAGGGGCCCGGTCCCTCACAGTACAACACTTCTCGGAGGCCTGGAAATTGGCACCAGCACCAGCACAGGGGGGTGCCTCCACAGGGGGGAGATGGTCCTAGATCTCGGTGTGCTTCGGTCGCCTTGGAGGCCAGGATATGACCACCATCACCGAGATCGGGATCGTCTTCCCTCGGTGGAGGCTCACCGCCGATCTTGGTGTCGGTGTCAACCTCTAGGCCTGCAATTGACAATCTCAAACCTGTGATCTGTATGATGTGATGTGGCTTGCCGATGGTGCGTCTTTCGTTGGTCTCGCCGGCTCTTCAGACTGGACTGGGCAAAAACAGCTATGGTGCGGCCCTCCCTCTTGCCAGCACGCGCGCGCAGGAGCCAAGATCCCGGTCGCACCGAAGAAGAACGAACGAACGAATGCCACTGCAGCGGAAGCTGTCTCAACTGCGGGGCTGGGCGTGTAGCGCCGCGACTTCTCGACGAAGCCCTCTCGAAGAGGACGGATGGCGGCGGCGAGGGTTTCCCTCAAGCTCACAGGGAACGCCGGGGAGAGGAGCGCCAGGAGGAGGGGGACTACTGGCGCACCATCTAGATCCCAAGCCTTCGCAAAACATCACTCCTCGCGCATCGCGCATCGCGCCCCGCGGACGCCTGGCGGCGGCGGGGGTTGCCTCCAGACCTCGGGCGCGCCGAAGAAAAGAGGGCCCCCCACCAAAGGCACCCCCACAAAGGAATCCCCCACCGCAACAGCGGCAACCCCACCACGAAGTCCTTACCAAGGGCAACCTGACTGAGGACCCCTTACTAGAAAGGGACTCCCACCAGAGACCCCTGACTAAAGAGATCTGGACTGCAGATGCCTCCCAGCTTGCGCGCCGGAAGAGGGGGGTCAGCGCATCATGGCCCGAGGCACGCGTCCGAGGCGGGCCAGGAGAGAGAGACAAAAGGGCCGCATCTTTGGCCCTCGGGGGGGGTCCGTCGTTGCCATCCGCTGGACGCAGCTCGGAAAACTGGTGCGTCTGGACTCCGGGCGGGGTCGGGGGACCGACTGCGAGCGGACCCCGCCTCCGTCGGCTCGTCTGGACCTCCTCTGGGGCGTGCGAGGACGAGTGGGCACCGAGGGGCGTGCCGAGGGAAGCCGGGGAGGGGCCGTGAAACATCTGGGAGAGGTCACGGCCCCCCGGCCACGATGTCCACACACAGCCAGTTTCAAGTCGGGCCTGTCCCTCTGCAGGAGGAATGTTCAGAAATAGTCACAAAAGAGGAAAAAACAAAAACAAACAAAAAAAAACTCTGGGGACGGTTTGGGGAATATGTTCGACCATCTTAAAGTGTGTTTTGACTATTTGTGTTTGTCCTCCAATATCCGCCTGTAGGAGGACATGCTCGACCTAAGGCTAGCCCTCACCCCCTCTTGCACACACTCCGGTGTGATCTGGGAGTCGCCAGAAAACGTGACGGTCCGTTTTGAGAACTGGACCGGCCGCGCCAGGTTTCGCAACAGCGCCGTGCAAGCACGGGTCCGCACCGCGTCGTCGGGACACCATATTCAAATAGTAGGATCGGGCCGGCTGAAATCTGAGTATCGTTTAACCGATCCCCATCCCCAGCGGCGTGGCCTGGGCCCCACTGGCCGATTTAAATCCCCTAGATGGGGATGTAGGCTGTCCCCTTCCGGTTTCGAGGGGTGTATCCCCAACTGGGGGGGTAATCTGGTGGGGGTCCCGAGGGGGATGGGGATGGGGATGGGGATGGGGATGGGGATGGGGATGGGGATGGGGATGGGGATGGGGATCGGATGAACGACACCGAAAATCGATATCAGATCGGATCGACCAGACCGGCACGAGCCGCGGGAGCGGGCGAAGCCTCGGTGAGCCCACCCAGCGCAACGGGCACGGGGCACCCACGGGGCGCCCACGAGCTGGCCACCAGCCGGGTGCCAGGCGAGACCTCGGCCAAGCGGTCGAGTCCCTCAGAGAACCGAAGCCAGAACGCGAAGTGCAGGCACTGCTTCGGGAGCAGTGTTAAGCGTCATCTTCGCCCGAAAGCAGAGAGGGTAGCACAACAAGAGGCAAGGCGCAGCAGGCTATATCCACTGCGCTGCAGTGCGACGAGAGGGGACAGGCTAGGCAATCGAAGAAACGAACATAGTGAGGTTTTGAACCTTCGGTTGTGCGCGGCAAGCTGGTAGCGCAGCGGACACATAGGCATCCTAGCCAGGTCCTACCCCCTCCCCCGCCTGGGGCATCCTGTTCGGTTCCCGTCCTCCTCCTCCTCCTCCTCCTCCTCCTCCTCCCCCTCCTCCTCCTCCCCCTCCTCCTCCTCCCCCTCCAAGTCGTCTTCCTCCCCCCTCCGCCCGCCCCCCTCTCATCCTCACTCGAATGCTCCTCCCTGTTCTCGTTCGCTTCCCTCGCCTCCTCCGCATTATCCTCATCATCATCCTCCTGGTCACCTTCTGGGATGTACGTCACCGGGGCTCCCCGCGCAGAGAAAAGCAAGGAGCGCGCTCTCGCAAGAACGAGAGGATCCCAGGAGAGGCGGCGGCGGCGGCGGCGGCGAAGGCTCCGTAGATGAGGAAGTTCGCGCACGCCAGCCGCACGATCCTGGAGGACAACAAAGGTAGCGACACCGCTCCTCCCCGGAGCTCTCGCGGGGTGCGTTCTGACCAGGCACTCCGAGGCGAGCCCAGCCGTGGCGACGAGGGCCTCCCAGGATGCCCCAACAGAGGAGAAGACGAGGCGACGGTAGCGGCAGCGGTAGCCTTTTCTTCCTCGGAGATCCCCGGCTGCCGCAGGCAGCCCGCCCACAGGAGGCTCCAGCGGCCGGCGCTGCTGCCGGGGGACGCCAGCTGGGCGGGAGCTGCTAAAGGTGCCCCTGGCCCGAGGTGCCCCCCCGCCTTTCGCTTCACTGTTGAGCCCCCGGGGCCCGCTGGGCCTCGTCAGGGGTGCTCTGCAGGCCGTGGGGGCCTCTTCGGAAGTCCTGGAGGCACCGTGCGGGCAGGGGATCGACTACATAATTATTAGTCGCCCCAAAACATATTTGTCCCGCTGGATCTTCCCCAAAACACGTACGTGGACCTGCGGAGCATTCTACATATCTTTCGTGGACTCGACGAGAAAATCCGTCGACCCCTTTGGGGTTTCTAGGCGTGCGAAATGATTCCCCCCTAATCCCCCCCCGACTGGGTCCAAAGTCGTGCGTTTGAGCGAACATGGGTTATGGAGGCCGTTTGCATAGGCGCCCAATGCAAACGGCCGCCAAAACGAGCCAACCCCCGGCGAGGTCGCGGGGTTCCGTGTCGGGACCGTTTGCATAGGCGCCCCGTGCAAATCGTGGGTTGGACGGGCCAACCCCCCAGACAACCCCGAACCGAACGCATCCGGGGTTCGCGCCCATTTGCATAGGGCGCCTATATAAATGGCCCCGAAAGACCCCTGGCTGAACGCATCCGGGGTTCGCGCCCATTTGCATAGGCGCCCTGTGCAAATGGGCGCAAGAACGTGCCAACCCCCGGCAAGCTTCTAGGACCCATAGTCGAGGCCCTCCGCATAGGCGCCCTATGCAAATTACGAATTGAACGGGCCAACACCCCGGACGACCCCTGGCCGAACGCCTCGGGGGTTGGCGCTCGCTGGCACCGGCGCCACATGCGAGAACGGACCCTGGACGACCGCCGAACGAGCTCCTCCAGGGCTCGCGACGGTTCGCACAGACGCCTTATGCCAGGTTGCCATCGAACGCACTTTGGGCGAAGAACAAATATACTATGGGAAACCATAGAAGGCCGCTGGAAACCGCTCCAAAAATCGTTCGCGTTTACTCACGCCCCGAATTATGTTGCTCCCATCGTATTTAAAGACCACAACCCATGAATATTTTCGAGCACCCGGGAACGTGTCGAAAGAGTGTCGAAACAGTGTCGAAGCAGTGTCGAAAGAGTGTCTCCCAGGGCCCGACACGTGAAAACCCTGGAGTTGTTGGGTACTTGTCTGGTGTTCGAAATTCTTCTGGTGATCAAGGAAGGCTAAGGTAGGTTGGAACAACATAAGCCCCGAACGCAACCCACATGTTTGACCAAACGGGGGGGCAATTCTATATTACTGCAGCCACGGCGGGGGGGGCACCGCCCCGCTCGAGCTCCCGCGGCCACCCTCCCTCGCCAGAGCCCCGCAGCGCCTCAGAACGTTAAGCAGGGCGCTCGCCCGCGTTGCCCCGCCATCGCCGACTCTGGCGAACGCCCCCGCCTTCACTCATCCCACGGCCCATCCGTACTCGCCGTCCTCATCATCCGCATCGTTATCACCATCGCCATCGCCATCGTCACCATCACCATCATCACCATCATCATCATCATCATCATCATCATCATCATCATCATCATCATCATCATCATCATCATCATCATCATCATCATCATCATCGTCATCATCATCATCATCATCACCATCATCATCATCATCATCACCATCATCACCATCATCATCATCATATCATCATCATCATCATCATCATCATCATCATCATCATCATCATCATCATCATCATCATCATCATCATCATCATCATCATCATCATCACCAGTCAGATTCGACCATTCCTCCGGGCCTGCACTGCCTGGGACACATCGCTCCTCACTCGCAGGTGCTGCGGCACGCGGCGAGGTGTAGCAACACTGGCCGCAGGGCGCTGCAGGGTCCACACTTGTGCTGCACGCCAGCGCGGTCGGCTCTCCGCCAGAGCCCAGTATTGCAGCATTTTGAAATTGTGCTCTGGCACACGCCACCAAACATCGAAATGTGCTGAACCATTGTCTGGCACAAATTGCAAATCCAGCGCAGTGGCTCATTTACGCCTCTACACCATTTTCTTTTCTCGTCCTTCCAGGCAACCAACGTCGAACATCAACGTCGGGGTCGCACGCAACGTCATGATATTGGGTGGAGAATCCACCTCCGCGAAGTGCGATTGCACATTATACTTTTCCTATTGTCCTCGCTCTGGGCGGTTTGCCTCCACTGCAAGGCCAGTCGGCGGGCGGCATATGGACATAGGCTTCCGGTGGCGGTACCGAGTTACATCACAGAGGAGAGAGAAATAAAGAACAACAAAATTACCCTGGCGACGTACCCAACCCCTGCGCAAAAGCGGGGCGCAAATAGTTTAGGATACTTTATAAGGGGGCGATGACGGAGCGAGGGTTACATATGTCTGCAGACGGAATTCGGGAGACTCGCAGGACACTGGCTACAGGAAAAGGGCTTGATAAAGCTGATGATTTACAATTCCTGAGCACTCCTAGCCACTTCGAAAACGGGGATCACAGCAGGCCTCGAAAGTGGCGACAGGTTCACAGATCGCAGCCCCGCAGGGATGGCGAAGTCTCATTTGAATCTGCCCGTGGCCTCACTGTGCCCCCCAGCAGGCCTCGAAAGTGGCGACAGTTTCGCAGGATCGCAGCCCCCCAGGGATGGCGAGGTCTAGTTTGAATCTGCCCGTGCTGGGCCCCCCAGCAGGCCTCGAAAATGGCGACAGTTTCGCAGATCGCAGCCCCCCAGGGATGGCGAGGTCTAATTTGAATCTGCCGCGTGGCCCTCACTGTGCTGGGCCCCCCAGCAGGCCTCGAAAATGGCGACAGTTTCGCAGATCGCAGCCCCCCCAGGGATGGCGAGGTCTAATTTGAATCTGCGCGTGGCCCTCACTGTGCTGGGCCCCCCAGCAGGCCTCGAAAATGGCGACAGTTTCGCAGATCGCAGCCCCCCAGGGATGGCGAGGTCTAATTTGAATCTGCCCGTGGCCCTCACTGTGCTGGGCCCCCCAGCAGGCCTCGAAAATGGCGACAGTTTCACAGATCGCAGCCCCCCAGGGATGGCGAGGTCTAATTTGAATCTGCGCGTGGCCCTCACTGTGCTGGGCCCCCCAGCAGGCCTCGAAAATGGCGACAGTTTCGCAGATCGCAGCCCCCCAGGGATGGCGAGGTCTAATTTGAATCGCGCGTGGCCCTCACTGTGCTGGGCCCCCCAGCAGGCCTCGAAAATGGCGACAGTTTCGCAGATCGCAGCCCCCCAGGGATGGCGAGGTCTAATTTGAATCCGCGCGTGGCCCTCACTGTGCTGGGCCCCCCAGCAGGCCTCGAAAATGGCGACAGTTTCGCAGATCGCAGCCCCCCAGGGATGGCGAGGTCTAATTTGAATCTGCCCGTGGCCCTCACTGTGCTGGGCCCCCCAGCAGGCCTCGAAAATGGCGACAGTTTCGCAGATCGCAGCCCCCCAGGGACGGCGAGGTCTAATTTGAATCTGCCCGTGGACCTCACTGTGCTGGGCCCCCCAGCAGGCCTCGAAAATGGCGACAGTTTCGCAGATCGCAGCCCCCCAGGGATGGCGAGGTCTAATTTGAATCTGCCCGTGGCCCTCACTGTGCTGGGCCCCCCAGCAGGCCTCGAAAATGGCGACAGTTTCGCAGATCGCAGCCCCCCAGGGATGGCGAGGTCTAATTTGAATCTGCCGTGGCCCTCAGTGCTGGGCCCCCCAGCAGGCCTCGAAAGTGGCAACAGTTTCGTTTCGCAGATCGCAGCCCCCAGGGATGGCGAGGTCTAATTTGAATCGCCCGTGGCCCTCACTGTGCTGGGCCCCCCAGCAGGCCTCGAAAATGGCGACAGTTTCGCAGATCGCAGCCCCCCAGGGATGGCGAGGTCTAATTTGATCTGCGTGGTACCCACTGTGCTGGGCCCCCAGCAGCCTCGAAAGTGGCGACAGTTTCACAGATCGCAGCCCCCCAGGGATGGCGAGGTCTAATTTGAATCCGCCGTTACCCACTGCGCTGGGCCCCCCAGCAGGCCTCGAAAGTGGCGACAGTTTCACAGATCGCAGCCCCCCAGGGATGGCGAGGTCTAATTTGAATCCGCCGATTACCCTCATGACTGGCCCCCAGCAGCTCGAAAGTGGCGACAGTTTCACAGATCGCAGCCCCCCAGGGATGGCGAGGTCTAATTTGAATCCGCCGCGATTACCCTCTATGCAGGACCCCCCAGCAGGCCTCGAAAGTGGCGACAGTTTCACAGATCGCAGCCCCCCAGGGATGGCGAGGTCTAATTTGAATCCGCCGCGATTACCCTCTATGCAGGACCCCCCAGCAGGCCTCGAAAGTGGCGACAGTTTCACAGATCGCAGCCCCCCAGGGATGGCGAGGTCTAATTTGAATCCGCCGCGATTACCCTCTATGCAGGACCCCCCAGCAGGCCTCGAAAGTGGCGACAGTTTCACAGATCGCAGCCCCCCGCAGGCAAGACAGAAAGAGGCAGGAAAGAGGCGGGAGGCGGGAGGAGGAAGGACGCGACCACACTGCTCTATTCAAAACGAATACCCAACCAAGGAGGGTTGGGAAAAATGTTCCCGATCGAAGGCAGGGGGCGCGGGCCCCTGATCACCCCTGGGCCTGGGCAATACCGCCTGTTGCTACGGGCTAAGAATGGCGACCTGGCGCGCGTTTACGGAAGGTCACATCCATTTTCGGCGTTGAATGGCTACTTCGGGGTCCCTTTGCTCCACGCACCTTGTCAGCTTCCACACGTTAGCAGAAAGGCATGGGATGGCGTGCGGGGAGCGCGAAATCTAGCGCCGTCAGTGTCCTTCCAGCGCCTGTCCACTACACATCATTGTTCGGCAGCTGGGTAGCCAACATGCCCATCACGAGCGTCTTTTTCCTAAGATTATTCTGCGCATGATTGCAATGCTTCTTCGTTCCACGCACGTTGGATTGCTGCGTTTTCGCGGGCGCTTCGTTGAGGACTGCTCTTCCACATGTGCTTCATCGTGGATACGGTCATGGTGGTGCGCTTCATTGCGGCGGCTGTCTTTGTGAAGTGTTCCAACGTCGGGTGTTTCCTCGCGGTGGTCGTCTTCGTGGAACGTTCCGTCATTGGGCGCTTCATTGCGGAGGTGGTCGTTGTGGAATGCCTCATCAAAGAGACCGCGTTGTTCACCCGCGCAATCGCGCCATGCTTCCTGGAAGGCGCTTCTTCGCGCAGCGCCCTTTCATGGAGCGCTTCTTGGCGCAAGGTCTCGTCGCGAAGGCAGTCTGCGCTTCGTCATGGAGGCGGTCTTCGTCGGGTTCTCTACCACGGCAGGGGCCACTTTGGAACTTGTCGTCGTGGCGCGCTTCAACGCGTGATCCCTGATCGCGGGGGCCTCATTGCGGGCCGAGCGGGACTCGCGCATCCCGCGGTAGCCCCCGTGGAGCGCAAACCACAGCCCCGAGAGCGCGCGGGCCTGCGCGCCGGCGAGGCGTCGGCTGCACTGGAGACGAGGCCGCCACAGCCCTGGCAAGCGCGGCGATTAGCGGTTCGCCGCGCGCGGCGGCCAGGCGGCGGCGCAACTCCCCCCTCAGCGGGCGGGTCGGGTCGGGCGAACCCTAGCGGGCTGACCGGGTCGGGTGGGCGGGACACTAAAGTGCGGGGCATATACGAGCAAGCATGCGCGAACCCTTACGGGCGGGTCGGGTCGGGCGGGCGGACCCTGACGGGCGGGTCGGATCGGGTGGCAACGCCTTGGAAGCGACAGACATGCTACACTCAAAGCCCTGAGTTTGAAAACTTCCGCGAAGAGCGCGCGCCCGAACACGCTCACAGGTATGAAGTATAGGGCAAGCGCAGAGAGCCCAGAGCAAAAGCAGGAGTCGCCACCCAAAAACCACCCGCCCTAGTTTTGAAAACTTTATGCCTGGCGAGACATTCTGGGCGAGGCTGAGTTTTCAAATTTAGGGCGCCATCCGTTTGAGACGGTAACGCGGCAATGCGTCGTTGAGATCAGCCCAGGGCCAACCCCCCCCCCCTCCCATGTTCCATTCACGCGCGTAATTACCTGATGACGCCTCGCAAGAGAGCGGCAACAGCTGAAGCCACTCCTGAAAAACTGCGCAATGCTGGATTGCACGAGCGGCCGAGCGCCTTGTAATGGCCAAGACCCTCACCGGGAAGAAATGTCCCCGCTCGGCCAGGAAAACTTCCTCGCTCGACGTCCTCGGTTGTCCCACTTCGACCCGAAAACACTTCTACGTTGGACCCCGGAAAATTTCCCCGTTCGCGCACCGATTTCCTGGTTCCCCTGCGGATTTCCTGGTCGGTCTTTTCTCCTTCCACACCAGCTGGGGGGAACACGTGGTCCGAAAGGCTCGGCAGAGCCCTTGCCGCAACGCCCGGCCACACGGGCGACTCCAGAGGCAGGGGGCGGCGGTGGTTCGCCGCAGGCGTCTCCGACCCATCCTGGGGCACAATCAATTCTGCGGCCGATCCCCTGCTCGAACCCTGGGCCGCGGGGGCACTCCCAGCAGCGCCCGAGCTGTCCGCCCGCGCCGGGGCCGGCCCGCGCGCCCCGCCCCTGGGCCAGGAGGAGCAGCCGCACGGTGCCTGGCGCGGCGCGCCGCCCGCGCCGGGCGCCTTCGCAGGGGGGCGCCGGGTGCACCCGGGAGAGGGGGGAGGCGGAGACTCTGGAGGAGGACGGAGGAGGACGGAGGAGGACGGAGGAGGACGGAGGAGGACGGAGGAGGAGGCGGAGGGGGGAGGAGGACGGAGGAGGACGGAGGAGGAGGAGGAGGCGGAGGAGGAGGAGGAGGAGGGGGGAGGAGGAGAAGGAGGAGAAGGAGGGGGAGGAAAGAGGATAAGAAAAATAAGAAGAAACAGTAGACGACGAGGATGATGATGATGATGACGATGATGACGATGATGATGATGACGATGATGATGATGATGACGATGATGATGATGATGATGATGATGATGATGATGATGATGATGATGATGATGATGATGATGATGATGGTGATGATCATGATCATGATCATGATCATGATGATGATGATGATGATGATGATGATGATGATGATGGTGATGATGATGATGATGATGATGATGATGATGATGATGAAGCTGAAGCTGGAGCTGTAGCTGGAAGTGGAGATGGAGATGGAGATGGAAACGGAAATGGAGATGGAGATGGAGATGGAGATGAAGATGGAGCTGAAGCTGAAGTTGACGCTGAAGAAAAAGCTGAAGCTGAAGCTGACGCTGACGCTGACGCTGACGCTGCAGATGAAGATGAAGATGAAGATGAAGATAAAGATGAAGATAAAGATGAAGATGAAGATAAAGATAGAGATAGAGATGAAGATAAAGATGGAGATGGAGATGGAGATGAAGATGAAGATGAAGATGAAGATGAAGATGAAGATGAAGATGAAGATGAAGATGAAGATGAAGATGAAGATGAAGATGAAGATGAAGATGAAGATGAAGATGAAGATGAAGAAGATGAAGATGAAGATGAAGATGAAGATGAAGATGAAGATGAAGATGAAGATGAAGATGAAGATGAAGATGAAGATGAAGATGAAGATGAAGATGAAGATGAAGATGAAGATGAAGATGAAGATGAAGATGAAGATGAAGATGAAGATGAAGATGAAGATGAAGATGAAGATGAAGATGAAGATGAAGATGAAGATGAAGATGAAGATGAAGATGAAGATGAAGATGAAGATGAAGATGAAGATGAAGATGAAGATGAAGATGCAGATGCAGATGCAGATTCAGATGAAGATCACGATCAAGATCAAGATCAAGATCAAGATCAAGATGAAGATGAAGATGAAGATGAAGATGAAGATGAAGATGAAGATAAAAATGGAGATGGAGATGGAGATGGAGTTGAAAATGAAGATGAAGATGAAGATGAAGATGAAGATGAAGATGAAGATGAAGATGAAGATGAAGATGAAGATGAAGATGAAGATGAAGATGAAGATGAAGAAGCAGTAGAAGATGAAGAAGAAGAAGAAGAAAAAGAGAAGGAGAGAGAGGGGAGAACGGAAAGGGAAGAAGGGGCGACGAATCGACGTCGTCGTCTGGAGGTCCCCAAAGGTCTCCGCAGGTCCCCAGGGGTCCCTGGAGGCCTCCCGAGGCCCACGGAGGGGGGTGGGAAGAAGACCGAAAGCAGAAAGCATTTTTGATCCGCGGGTCGAGAGCGCACCTCTTCCGGTCGAAGCTAAGCGGGCCGCGCGAAGCTTGAATTATGCAAAGAAGAGGAGGGAGGAAGGTGAAGGCAGAAAGCAGCAGACAAACAAAAATTATGATCGTTGCCATCGCTCGGACGTCCGCTCCGTGCGTACCTTGCGCGCACTGCTTGGCTTCGTGCGTGCTTGTGTCTCTCAAGATGGCCCGAGGTTCTCCAAGATGGTCCAGACTCTCCTGCGCCGGCCCCGCCGAGAAAACGTGCACAGGTCCGAGCAATGCCAAGGACCCTGGTCCCTCGATCGCGGGCCCTGGTCCCTCGATCCCTCTGGACGCCCGAGAGGGGCACGGGAAAACTGGGCACGAGGCCCGACAGCAAGTGTTGTCCCAAACCGACAGCGGCCGAAGCTGGGCACGCGGCCTTCTGTCTCGACAGGCCACAGTCCGCGGAGCCACCGACAGCGAGTCATGTTCAACTGTCCAACAGTAACTGCGGCTGGTCTTTGTACCCATTCTTTCAGTGCCCATGTTGATGGGCCAGGTTTCCACCACCACTACCATAGGTGGCGCGGGGGAGAAGGGGAGATGGGGAGGTCCTCCTCCTCCTCCTCCTCCTCCTCCTTCTCCTCCTCCTCCTCCTCCTCCTCCTCCTCCTCCTCCTCCTCCCAGTGGTTGAAAAGCAGCCCATCACATTTCGATCGTCTCGAATCCCAGGCCCATCGTGCCTCGAGGCCCGGCGGGAGCGCCGCCGGGCGCGTCCCTGGCCAGCAGCAGCACCAGGCCCGCGGCGCCCAGCGCGCTGGCGCCCGCGAGCAGCAGGCCCCCGCGCCAGCCCGCCCAGGCGACCTGCCGCGCGCGGCCGAGGCATCGAGGGTCCAGGATCGGGCATCGGGGATCGGGGATCCCTGAGACGGTGGCGCGTCATCGGCCCCGACACCCCCCGCCCCCAACAAAGGAAAAAAAGACGAGACTGTCCATGGTGGACCATAGATTGGCGGCTCCCTGTCGCTCAAGCTGGGACCTGCAAGCCACGTCTGCACCGCAGAGCGGGTGGGGGGGCGGGAAGGGGTAGTTCTGCCACTCCTTGACGAATACCTCGCCCCGATATGTGGCCGCCGCGATCGCAGCGACGACCGCCGAAACCCACCCCGAGGTTTGGTTCCCGGTCGGATACCACGCAGCGATGGGAACCGCCCCGCGAGGTCGCCCCACTGCGGGCTTCTGGGTTCTCGCGGATCGATCCGGGCTCGACGGATGCCGCAGGAAGATGGTCGGGAAACCAAAAGGTACTGATACCCCTACTCCCCGGACCTCTCCCCGGGTGCGCTTTGACCAGAATGTCGAGGCGAATCCGGCGGTGGCGACGAGGGCCTCCGAGGAGGCCCAAAAGGGGGGGAAACGAGGAAAGGGTAGAGGCATGGGTACCTTTTCCTTAGGGAGCCCACGCAGGATGTACGCGCCCAGCTATGTACATGAACACTCGCGCAATGCGAACCCTGGAAAC